GCGACCTGTCCAGGGTGTCCCCTGCCTTCGCCCTAAGTCGGCTGGGATAGGCTCCAGCCCCCCCGCGACCCTAATGAGGATTAAGCGGTGTATAGAAAATGGATGGATGGAAAATGCTGCAGTGTTTAGCAGGTCGATGAGGAGACTTGAAATCTTGAAATGAAGGTGAAGAGAAATGTAATCAAGCAGTTTTCATGAAGTGACCTCAACAAGAATTTAGTTTTAAATGAAATTTGAGTTTAAATTACATCATGAAGCTAATGCAACATTATTCCGTCAACCATCAAAATAATAAAACAAGGAGATGCTCACAGTAAATTCTGCCAACTTCACCTTCAAACTGAACAACTACGGGCTGAAAAACAAGGCTTGTAGCTTACAGCAGAACTCAGTGAATCGAAGCCAAAGTGAGACTTTGTAGGAAAAGTTTGGTGTGTTGACATGAGTGAAGCCTGTGAAGGTTTCATGTTTCATCGCCTTACAGGTTGTGTGGAGGGAGAGACTGAACTGTAGCAGTGGTGTCTTCAGGCCTGGACTTCCCAGGAGACAGCCCCGAGTGTTTCATGGTTCTATGGAACAAAAAGGAGAAGAAGAATCCAAATACTCCCACATCCCCTCATCTGTCATTCTGGTCAGACATTTAAGCTCCAAAATCACACAATGGATCAGAGACACAAGTGGGCTCCATTCAGTGGAACATAGACTGAGCACACAAACAAAGTGGGATGAGCTGACTTTGCCTCCAGCACAGGGTCTCACACTTTCTACTGATGTGACTGTGGAACCAGTAGACGCTGGTTGAACTGTAAAGACTTGTTGCCTGAGCCTCCACTGTGTCCAGATCCTAACAACTCCTCTGCTCTGTCTTCTGTTTCTACATAAACGTGGATTCCGGTGCGGCGGAGCCAGCGCCACCTTGTGTAGCAGCTCCTCTTCAAACCCGGAAAGCGGTCTGTGTGCGCAGGCGCACTGAGCGCCGCAGCTAACGGCTTCTGGAAGCTTCGACGGAGAGACGGCGGGAGGAAAAGAAGGAGGACGAGAACATGGAGCCGCTTGTTGGAGGAGAACCGAAGGAGACGGAGGTGAGGAAGATGGTGTTTTAATCCAGGAAGGCTCAATAAAGTTTGACTGTGATAAACTGAACTCATTCAGGTGGCTTTATGACGAGCGAGCTGGCTAACGGCCGGAAATCAGGGTTAGCTAGGTTAGCTAACATCTCTTCAGTCAGATTGCGGCTACAGCGGCTGTTTGTGGAGCTGACAGTTGGATTTTAGGACACAAACAGAGTCAACATGTGTGAGAGACTTTCTAGCTGTTGACTAACTCAGTCAGCTTCACCGAGTTAGCTGTTAGCTAGCAGGTTTACAGCAGGAGGACTTAGCTGACCCTGGTTAAAATACATGTAAAGTAAATGGTTCAAACCGTATTCAGCTGGAAGGAAAGAAGTCAGACTTTATTCTGACACGTTCAGTTAACAAGAAAAACTCCACAATTA